CCGGGGCCCCGTTTGGCCGGTCCTGTTTGAAGCAAGGTCTTTCCACATCTCACATCCTGCTAGCAAAGGAAATGAAGCAATGTCCCCGTAGCCGGCGCTCACTGGCGACTTTCCAATGTAAAGACTTGGGCCCTTCTAACTGGGGGACCCAGTGTCCCCTTCCAGAGCTGTGTCATCGGTGAGGCCCCACCACATGACATTTTCTGCTAATGGAGGAGGAATTTTCAGCTAATTTTAAGGAATGCTTTGGGGCTGGGCCGGAGGGGCGAGAAGATGGCATTGTGTAACTGCCGTTGTGGCTTGTGCTTCACGGAGGCAGTTCCGGGGGTACTGGCTGGTGGGGGATGGGCTAGGGTCAGGTTCGCTGGTTGAGTTACCATCGGGGAGCCCACGAGGCTGGGGTCCCCCAGCTGCCAGGGGCTCCCGCTGGAGGTTATGTGCAGTTTGGGGATCTACATCTTGATGACCCCCCACCCCCAGCCCGGCAACTAGCTCAGGACCCTTCCTGCCCACCCAGCTCTCAACTCCAGGGGCATGTCCCAGAACCCTAACTGACACCCCATAACTCAGCAGACACTGTGAGGACATCCCTGGTGGATGCTTTGTGTTCCTAACTCCACTCTCCCAGCCTCCTCCCAACAAAACCACTTCCTGTGGCCTTGAAGATCTCAGCCTCTTCCTTCGGGAGTGGGGAAGCCCTGGTTCAAGTGTAATGTACGTCTTATCTTTGTAGGAGCTCTAGATTGCATTTGTTTCAAGAGGGTCCCATTCACCCCATGCCAGGGGCCACCCTTAGAGTTTTAGAATGAAGATATCTTTCTACGCCAACCAATTGGATGACGTGGTGAAATGGACAAATTCTTGGAAACAAAGTGGGGGTATCTGAGCACTTGGGGTGGGTGTCAGAAATGCTAGTTTCTTTGACATAAAAGTGAAATTAAGCAGCTAATGGGCTTCTTAAGATGCACCATGGCTTGTCAAGATTCTGTTGGCCAGTCCATTTCCCTTAAGCTGCTGCCAGAAATAATGGCAGATCAGAGAGCTATTCTCTGAGGGACCAGCTGACTTGTCATTGCCTGTGCAATAAAGAACAGCTTTGGCTGCATCTTGGACCTGACCCAGCCTCAGCTTTCTCTTTACACAGGATTTTTCAACAGTCGAGCTTCAAGTAGTGACAGAGACAGCTGCATCTGGGTTCTCGAGACTGGGAATAAAGTGGGAACATTTTTTTGTTTGTTTCTTCTAAAAATAATGCAAGTTTTTATTGTATGATGTTTTGAGGGGAGGGTTCACGATGGTCTCTGGGGAACTGAAACCGATGTCCTTAAAGATGATGGGGGGGGATGGAGGTATGTCGAGTTTGCAAACAAAAATTAAACCAAAGGCCGTGGGAAAATCACTTCCCAACTCCAGGGAGACTGAAGTCTGGAGAGATCGCCTGAGGCTGAGAGCCATCCTTTCTTACCATGCGCTTTTAGCAGCTTGTTTTTCCAAGTTAGATTTGGTGGGAAATTGCCAGACCGCAGTGGTTTGGGGTTCTGTTTCTCTTCTTTCTTTTTTTGGCTTCTCTGGGGATCGTGTTCTTGTGTCTTACTCTCCTACTCCCCTTAAAGAAACAAATCGGGTGAATTTGGTCTCAGCGTTGAAGGCTAATTCCGTTAACTGGCTTCTCCCCAACGATCCCAGAACACTACGGAGCGAGCGCTCAACCTGGTCATTCGTATCCCGGATGTGGTTCTCCTGTGTAAGCCGTTCTCTGAGGTCCACTTGTAAAAAGATGTGCATTTTTCTCCACAAGAAAAAACAAGTAAAGTGGTTATACCCAAAGGCATTTGTTCTCTTATTTCCATTTGTGAAATGCGGTTTCCAGGAAGAGGGTGATTGCATTACGGCCAAGTAAATGGTTGGTTGAGGGCCATGCGTGATGCAGCAGAACCCAGATCATCCTGGGGAAGCTCAGGCCTGGGGCTGCCTCTAGCCAGGCCTCATGGCCACGGCCTTGGCCCTGGAAACTTCTGTTGCATGGAGGGGCAGGGAGGATGATGTTGCCCCCACTAATCCTAGTAAGAAGGTCTGTCCCCACAGCAGCCAGAGGGCACCTGTGAATACCCAAGTCAGGTCACTTGCCCTCCTCTGCCCAGCACCCTCCGTGGCTCCCACCTGACTCAGAGTAAACATCTTCCAGAGGCCCACAAGGCCCTGCAGGGTCTGACCTATTACCTCCCTGCCCTCTCCTCTTCCCACTTGCCCCCCCATACTTGCTCACTCTGGTCACATTGGCCTCCTTGCTGCTATTTGCACCTACCAGGCCCCTGTCTCAGGGCCTTTTCACTTGCTGTTCCCCCTGCCTGGAACCCTCTTATCCGAGGTAGTCACGTGGTTCCCCTCACTCACTCCCTTTTCCAGGTCTTTGCACAAAGCTCACCTCATTGGTCCTCCTGTTTAGTACTGCAACCCCTCCCCCAGCATTTCTACTGTCCCTTTCCCTGTGTCCCCTCCCCATAACCCCTGGAATCTAAAATACTATGCAATGTATGCATTTCGCTTAAACAAGTGTCTCCACTATAATATCAGCTCGTCAAATGCAGGGGGGTTTATTTTTCACTGCCACACCCAGCTCTTCCTGGCGGATACAATAAAAAAAGAAACATTTGGTCTTTGTCCCTGGCTCCTGGCACACAGCTCCTAAAAGCCTTGGACTCTGGAGAGATACGAATGTGTTTGTATGTTAATGAGAGGTCCGGGGCGCTGGGGGCCCCTGGGTAGCTTCAGGATGGGGGCTGATGGCTAGAAAAACCAAACCCTGATGAGAGGAACTTTCAGCCCAGAGGGGCTGGAGATTGAGTTAATTGACCAATGGAATGGCCGATGATTTAATCAACATGCGTACATAATGGAAATTCCATAAAAACCCTAAACAATGAAGTTCAGAGAGCTTCTGGTTGCTGGGAGGGTGGTGCACCCACAGAGCGCCTGGGAGCTCAGGGCCCCTTCCCCAGACCTTGCCCGCCATGCGTCACTCCCAGCCTGCTGTTCCTGAGTTGGACCCTTTATCATAAGCTGGCAACAGTAAAGCACTTTCCTGAGTTCTGAGAGTCATTCGAGTTATCAGACCTGAAAAGGAGTGGGGTTGTGGGAACCTTGTAGTCGAATCAGACAGTGTAGGTCTCCTGCGGACCTGATCCTTGCAACTGGCATCTAAATGGGGACAGTCTTGTGGGACGGAGCTCTTGAACCTGTGGGGTCTGCTGCAAACTCTGGGTAGTTAGCATCAGAAATGAACGGTAGGACGCCAGTTGGGACCCACAGAAAATCACTTGGAAGTATTGTGAGTAAAAGCAGTTCATTTCTGACATACAGCAGGCACTCAATAGATGTTTGTTGAGTGAATGTATGAACTGCAGAGGCCAAGAGGGAGCTAGGTCCAGGGACTTGCATACCATCCGGGATTCTTTTTTTTTTTTTTTAAGATTTTTTTTTTTTTTCCTTTTTCTCCCCAAAGCCCCCCGGTACATAGTTGTGTATTCTTCGTTGTGGGTTCCTCTAGTTGTGGCATGTGGGACGCTGCCTCAGCGTGGTCTGACGAGCAGTGCCATGTCCGCGCCCAGGATTTGAACCGACGAAACACTGGGCCGCCTGCAGCGGAGCGCGCGAACTTAACCACTCAGCCACGGGGCCAGCCCCCCCATCCGGGATTCTTAACTCCGCTCTCTGTGCCTTCTCTCTGCAGCCTTGTCCCCATGAGGTGGCCCCCTCTGAACCAGGTGAGCTTCGGGGGAGCTGCTCTCTCCTGATCACTCTACCTAAAGTCCCAAAACCTTGGTCCCACGCCCATGCCTGACCAATGGCTGCGGTTAGAGAGATGGAACGGGCTGATTGGCTGGCTGGAATCATGAGCCCGCCCCTGGCTGAGCGACGGAAATCTGAGAGGTGGGATGGTTCCCAAGAAAACTAGGTGTGTTCTCGCCGAAAGTGGGAGATGATTGCAGCGACAGCAAATACGGCACGTGCCCATTTTATGCTCCTCAAAATCCCCCCAAAAGGAGAGAAGAATTAGATGAACCACCGTTTTGCAATCCCCAATGATAGAATTGACTCAGGCCGCTATGGCCGTCGGATGAAGCCCTTGGTTTATTGCTTCTCAGCCGTGACCATGGCCACCCCTTAGAAGCGCCTGGATAAAGGGAAGAAATCGCCACGCCCAGGCCACAGCCCCGTCCAATTAAATCAGAAGATGGGGAGAAGATGGGGTTCAGACCCAAGGGGTTCAAACGTACAGCCAGGGCTGAGAACAAGAGACGTAGAGGAGATATGGGGGGAAGAGGAACAAGGCAAAGGCGCCACAGAGAAGCAGCAGCAGGTCCAGAAGGCAGGGCACTCCCCAGCATTCCACACTCTTTCTGCAACAGATCGAAGGTAGGCGGGGTTGGGGAAGAGGAGAAAGAATCTGGAGCAGTGTTTCTCAAAGTGTGTTCCCTGTACCAGCAACATCGCCTGGGAACTCGCTAGGAATGAAGATTCCTGGGCCCCCTCCAGGTCTGCCGAGCCAGAAGCTCTGAGGGTGGGGCCCGGACACCTGTGCTTTAACAGAACATCCAGAGGTTTCTAATTTATCCTCTCATTTGAGAACTCCTGGGTTAGAATAAAAGGAATTTAGGAGACATGCCGAACAAACGTGATGTGTGGGCTGGGTTTGGATACGATTCAAGGAAACCTAATGTAAAAAGACACTTTTAGCCACTGAGGAAAATCTGATGAAGGCCTGGGTGTTGAGTGATGCCCGGGAATGGCTGTTGTGTCTTCAGTATTGTCTTTGTCTGTTCGGGCTGCTATAACGGAATATCGTAGACTGGGTGGCTTATAAACAACAGAAATTTATTCCCTACAGTTCTGGAGGCTGAGAAGTTCAAGATCAAGGTGTTGGCAGATTCTGTGTCTGGTGAGGGCTATCTTCCTGGTTTGCAGACGACCATCTTCTGTGTCCTCACATGGCGGAAGGGGCAAGGGAGCTCTCTGGGGTCTCTCCTAAGGGCACTAATCCTACTCATCAGGGCTCCACCCTCATGACCTCCTCACCTCCCAAAGGCCCCGTCTCCTCACCCCATTCCCTTGGGGGTTAGCTTTCAATGTCCGAATTTCGAGGGGGACGTAAACATTCCGTCAAATGTGAGCATGGCATTATGCTTGCAAACATAATATGCAAATAAATAAAGATCCAAATATATACATTTTTAGAGATATGTGCCGAACGATGAGGGGGGGAAATGACATTGTGACTTGTTTGAAAATACTTCCTCAAGGGGCAAAAGGGAGAATGAAACAAATATGTCAAACTCTTGGTGATTGTTGAATCTGGGTGACGAGTATGTGGGGGTTTCTTTGGATGAATTCTCTTGGCTTTTGTGAACCTGGAAGATTTTTTTTCACAAAACAATCTATAAAACAAAAACGCTGCATGAGAAGGAAGGCTGGGTCATCCCGTTCAGAACTGAAATCGTTGCCAGCTGGTGTGGAAAACAAAACGAAGGAGAAGGAGTCAGGATGACAGGGGTTCCCCTGATAATAAAAGCATTATGAATCTCCCTCCAAGAAGCAGGTGAGTGCCACAGAAAAGTAAAAATGAGACCACTTCTCCAGCAGCCAGGTGGGTCCAGGTGTCCTGTCCTCCCCAGGTCTGTCAGCCCAGCTTGGTGAACAGCAGCAAGGTGGCGAGAATTCCTGGCAGCTGAAATGGGAGAAGAAACACTGAACCAACTTGAGGGACCTCCAAACCCAAATCAAATCAGATACACAGAGAGGGGGAGCACCCTGCTCCGGAAAGGCGAGAGGCAAGGATTTACAGATGGCAGAATGTCCTTCAGGGCCAACTTGGAGAGAATTTGGACCTGTTACCACAATCAGTCTCAGCTGTGGGTAGAAGGTGGTGGCCCATCATGATGCCCATCAGTCATTCTCTCTTTACTTCCCCCAGATCCTGTCTCCACTCTCTTCTGCCCTCCCCCAGGTCCTGCAAACTACATTTCCCAGAATCCCCTGCTCGCTCACTTCCTGTTAGGTTTGGCCAATAGGAAGCACCAGCAGGCGATGGGCGGGCTGGAGGAAAGGTTGGGGTATTTCTCCATCAGTTGCTCCCACTCTTCTGCCCATCCTGAGCCCTCCATGACCAGAGCTGTGAGCAGATGACCCCTCCTCCTTGGCTCTTGCTGTCCTCACCTCTTCAGGCCTAGAAGTAAAAGGTCCCGTGTTGCTAGCCCCTGAGTGCCTCAACATCCCTCATTTTCCTTAACCCTGCCCACGCCTCTGGAAGGAGTTCCCTGGAAGCTTCTTAGAAGGACCATCTGGGGGCTGCATTCTGTTTCCTGCTGGGATCCTGACTGTTACAACCTCCTTGGGGAAGAGGGTGTTGTATAATTTGCATATACATAATCAATATTATAAATTTGTACAATGAAAAAAATACTCACTTTGAAAACACAAATCAGACTAATGAGAATGATCCATATTTCAGCTGGTGGTGATATAATGCGTGTGTATTCCTTACAATTCCCATATACAAGATCATGTCGTCTGTGAATAGATAATTTTCCTTCTTCCTTTCCAATCTGAATGCCTTTTATATCTGTTCCTTTTCTTTCTTTCTTTCTTTTTTTTTTTTGAGGAAGATCAGCCCTGAGCTAACATCTGCTGCCAATCCTCCTCTTCTTGCTGAGGAACACTGGCCCTGAACTAACATCCATGCCCATCTTCCTCCACTTTACACATGGGACACCAACCACAGCATGGCTTGCCAAGCGGAGCCATGTCCGCACCCAGGATCCAAACCAGTGAACCCCAGGCCGCTGAAGCAGAACGTGCAAACTTAACTGCTGAGCCACTGGGCCAGCCCCTTATATCTTTTTCTTGCCCAATTGTCCTGGCTAGAATCTCCAGTACAATGTTCAATAGAAGTGGCAAGAGTGGATATCCTTGTCTTTGTTCTTGATTTTAGTTGGAAAACATTCAGTCTTTCACGATGAAGTGTGAAGTTATCTATGAATTTTTCACTGATGTCCTTTATGAGGTTGAGGACATTCCCTGCTATTCCTGGATTGTTGAGTGTTTTTATTATGAAATGATGTGGATTTTGTCAAACGGCTTTTCTGAATCTATGGAGATGATCATGTGGTTTTGTCCTTTATTCTGTTACTATGGTGTGTTGCATCAATTGATATTTGTACGTTGAACCAGCCTTGCATTCCTGGGGTACATCCCACTTGGTCCTGGTGTATAATCCTTTCTATGTGTTGCTGGATTCAGTTTGCTAATATGTTTTTCAGGCTTTCTGCCTCTGTATCCACAAGAGTTATTGATCTGTGGTTTTCTTTTCTTATGATGTCTTGGAATAGCTTCATAGAGTAAGTTGGGACATAATGCTCCCTTTCTTATTTTTTGGAAGAGTTTTTGAAAAAAATGTTATTCTCCTTTCAATATTTGGTGGTATTCACCAGTGTGGCTATTTGGGCCTGATCTTTTCTTTGTAGGAAGTCTTCTGGTTACTAATTTAATTTTTTTACTTTTTATAGGTCTATTCAGATTTTATATTTCTCCTTGAGTCAATTTTGGCAGTTTGTGTCTTTCTAGGAATTTGTCTATTTCATCTAGATTATCTAATTTGTTGGCATACAACTATTCACAGTATTCTCTTATAGTTTTTTTTGTCCCCCTAAAAGGCCAGTAGTGATGTCCCCTTCTTTCATTCCTGATTTTAGTAAATTGAGTCTTCTCTATTTTTTTCTTTTCTATCTGGTTCAACTTTATCATTTTGTTGACCTTTTCAAAGAACCAAATTCTGATTTCATTGCTTTTCTCTATTTCATTTATTTCCACTCTAATCTTTATTATTTTCCCTTTTGCTTGCTTTAGGTTTAGTCTTCCCTCTCTCTCTCTCTTTTTTTTAAAGACTGGCACCTGAGCTAACATTTGTTGCCAGTCTTCTTTTTTTTTTTCTTCTTCTTCTCCCTAAAGACCCCCAGTACATAGTTGTATATTCTAGTTGTGAGTGCCTCTGGTTGTGCTATGTGGGACGCCGCCTCAGCATGGCCTGATGAGTGGTGCCATCTCACACCTGGGATCCAAACCGGCGAAACCCTGGGCCACCAAAGGGGAGTGCGCAAACTTCACCACTCGGCCACGGGGCTGGCCCCCTAGTTTTCTCTTCTTTGTCTAGTTTTGTAAGGTGAATGTTAGGTTATGTATTTGAAAACTTCATTCTTTTTTTAATATAGGCATTTACAGCTATCAATTTCCCTCTAAGCACTGCTTTAGCTGCATCCATACATTTCGCTTTCAGGATTCTTTTTCTTTTTAGTTTGACTATACTATGTGTAGGTGTGGGTCTTTTTGCTTTATCCTCCTTGGAATTCATGGAGCTTCTTGGAGGTGTAGATCCATGATTTTCATCAAATTTGGAAAATTTTTGGCCATTATTTCTTCCAATATTCTTTCTGCCTTTTTCTTTCTCTCTTCCTGCCCTGGAATGCCATTCTACAGATGCTTGTGTGCTTGATTGTGTCCCACAGGCCTCCGAGGCTGTGTTCATTTTCTTCATTCTGTTTTCTTTCTGTTCCTCAACTGGATAATCTCACCTGACCATCTTCAAGTTCACTGATTCCTTCTTCTGAAAACTCAGATCACATGCTGAGCCACTCTACTGAATTTTCCATTTAATTTTCCAGAATTTCTATTTGCTGCTTCTTAAAAAATCATTTCTGTCTCTATTGATCTTCTCTATTTGATCAAACATATTCTCATCTTCTCCTTTAGTTCTTTGAATATATTTATAACAGCTGATTTAAAGTATTTGTCTAGGAAATCCAACATCTGGGCTTCCATCTAGGGCAGTTTCTATTGACCGATTTTTTTTTTTCCTGTGTATTGGCCACACTTTCTTGTTCCTTTGCCTGTCTCATAACTTTTTGTTGAAAACTGGACATTTTAAATACTATAATGTGGTCCTTTGAAAATCACTCTCCCCTGCCCCGACTCCCCAGGGGTTTTTTCGTATTGCTGTTTGTGGTTGCTGCTGCTGCTGTTTGCTTGTTCGGTGACTCTCTGGGACTGATTCTGCAAAGTCTTTGTTGTGTGCAGTCACTGAAACTCCTGCCTGGTTAGCCTAGTGTTTGAGGTGAGAGTTTTCCTTTTTCAAAAGGGAAACCTGACTTTTGAAAGTTCAGCGATATTCTGCCAATATTTATTGCATCATCCATTCTGCCCATGAGAAACCATACTTCATTCTATCTTTACAATCTAGATAGTGAGTGTAAAAAGTAGGGCCAATTTAATTGAAAAGAACTTCCATTTACTGCCCTGGATTATCAGTTCATTCTTTTCTCCCTGGGGCCTGTCTGGGTGGAGCTCTGAGCCAAGATTCCTCCTCGGACAGGGTCAGGGATGAGAACAGCTCTGTACATAGTGTTTCCATGGTGACTGGCCTTTGAGCATCTCTGGTGGTGTACAGGACCACCTTTCAGCCACTCCCTCACTGTGATCCTCGCCTTGAGTGGATGACAATCAGGACCTCCCTGGAGCTGATGACAATAATTTCCCAGAGTTGGCTCATGCTTGCTGATTTCCCAGAATCAGAGCATTGTGCACAGCCTCTGACGTACTCCACCTCACGAATGACTCCCAACAATTGCACAGCCCGGTTTACAAATGAGGGAGGCCATGATCCTGACTCTCAGCCAGAGAACTAGTGCGTGACATAACAGGGCTGGAGTTCTGAGCCCCAGCACTTGCCCACCCAGGCCTCCTACCAGGTAAGAGTGGGCCAGACCCGACAGGTGGATGGAGAGGGCAGATCCCCAGACTAAGCTGTTCCTCATCTGAATCAGGTCTGAGACCCCCAGCACCCTCATGCCTTCCTTCCTTTCTGGGGGAACCATTAGTGATCACAGTAATTAATCGCCCTGCTTAAAATGACCTCCCCTCTCCTCTTCCCAGCTGTATAGTTCTCCTTAACACATATCACTATCATATAATATGTTTGCCAATTTTAAAAATCATATTTCTTGTCTTTTAGAATGTCAGCCCCATGAAGGCGGGGATTTTTGTCTCTTTGGCTCATTGCTGTAGCCCCAGTGCCTACAACATTGCCTAGACACAGTAAGTTTTCAGTAAAGCTTGTGGAGTGCAAAAGTGAATGTTAAAACCCTTCTAATGGCTTTCCATCATTTTCAGAATACAAGCCAAACCCCTCCCTACAGCCCATAAGGCTTTGCATGATCTACCCCCGTCAACTCCCTGAACTCATCACCCCCTACCATCCTCCTTACTCACCCTGTTCCAGCTACAGGGGCCTCCCTGCTGGTCCTTGAATAAGCCAAGCTTATCGCTGCCTCAGGGCCTTTGCACCAGCTGTTCCCACTGTCTTCTCCCATATATATACATGGTTTTCCCTCACCTCCTCAGGTCAGTAGTCAAATGTGACCTCCTCAGAGTGGCCATCTCTTATTCCCTTCCCTATCCCAATGCCCTGTTTTACTTCCTTCCCAGCAGAAACCTTTAACTGAATGATCATCCATCCCCCCCACTTGAATGTCAGCTTCACCACAGCAGGGAGTTTGTCTTTTGTCACTGCTGTGTGTCCAGTGCCCAGGACACTGCTTTACACACAGTGGGTGCTCAATAAAAGAGCTCAGTGTGTCCCAGAGGGGCTGGGCCTTACCTGGATCACTGCCGCCCCCAGTGAGCCCCCGCTTAGGTTGAAACTCTGAGTCTTGGTTATTTCCAGGAGCTTGGGCAAACAGCCCTGAGGACACAAACATCAAAGCAGGTGGGACCTGGTTAGGGGCCCGTGAACTCCAAGCCCCCGTCAACGCCCACCCATCGGGCCACCCAAATTCCTCTTGGATTCAGGGAGTACAAGAGGACAAAGACACAAGGACCTTGGCTCTTTTCTCACTTGACTGCCCCCCACCCCACCCCAGCACCTTCCCTGGTATCCTTGTTCCCCCTCAACTCCAGAACCTACCACTCACTCCTCTGTATCCATCTGTGCTGACCTCCAACTGTGGTGATTAAGAGTATGGGCAGATGCCCCAAGTTATTGCTAGCTGCATGACCTTGGAGGAGTCACTAGACTTCTCTGTACCTCAGTTTCCTCAACGGTAACTGGGACCAAGTGGATCTGCCTCACAAGACTTTTGTGAGGATTAAAAGAAAGAATCTATATGAAGCATAGCAGTAGCCTGACACATAGTCAGCATTCAGTAACTGTTAGTTATTTCTGAGTGCTCTTTACATATGAGCAGCACCTTCAAAGCCCTTTACATGTATTTTCTCACTCATTTCTTACTACACCCCCATGAGGTAGGTACTGTTTTTTTCTCTGGTTTATAGGTGAAGAAACTGAGGTTCAGAGAGTTAAGAGATCAAACAGTGGGTGGGCAGGGCAGCCACCCACAGGTAATGGGGCCTCCACCTGCTATTCTGCCTTCACTGAGATACTCCTCCTCCCAGGCCCCTGGCACTTCTTGCTTCTGGAAGCTTGGGCTGCCTTGAGCTCACTGTTGACACAGTTCAGTGCTCCCCTCCACTCATTAGGCATTTATCAAGTGCCTACTGTGTTCTGGGCACTGAACTGGATGCTGGCAACCCAGCCATGTACAAAACAGACGAAATCCCTGCTTTGGTGGGGCTGACGTTTGGGTGGGGAAAACAAGTAATAAGCAAGTACAGCAATACCACTGTCAGGTGGTGATCAAGCCTGGGGCAGACGCTGAAGCAGAGTAAGGAGACGGAGCGTGATGGTGAGTCAGGGGGCGGATGCTTTTATAGAGAGGAGGTCAGGAACAGCCTCACCGAGGCCGTGACCATTAAGCACAGATTTGAAAGAGATGAGGTAGGAAGACATCTTGGGGAAAAGTGTTCCAGGCAGAGGAAACAGCCTGTGCAAAGGCCCTGAGGCAAGCATGTGCCTGGTGTGTTTGCATATCAGTGAGGAGGACAGTGTGACTGGAACAGAATGAGTGAGGGGGTGAGTGGGAGGAGGCAAGGTCAGGAGGTGACACACAGGTTGCGCAGGGCACACTGGGCCAGCATGTGGCCCCATGTCCATTTCTCAAGCCCTGGCCTGGGACTTGCCCTGGCCCATTCTCTACAGTGTCTGGCTCCCAGCAGGAGCCGTTCCGTGTGAATGGCTGTGTCATGAATGGTTCCTATTCTTCCCTCAGGAAAGATCCCTGTGGTCACTCACCTGCAGCAGGAGTTAAAGGGAAGCTGGGGAGAGGGTTGGAAGCCCAGCTCCACCATCCCCTGGCTGTGGAAACCTTTGTGTGCCTCAGTCTCCTCATCTGGAAAATGGGAGAAGAGCAGTCCCCACCTCGAGGGGTGCGCTGGGGATCAAACTCACAAAGCAAGGGGCCCGTCGTGTGGCTGCCATCACTATTGTGAGGATGATCACGTGTCATCATTGCTGCAACTCGATTTCTGTGTGTGGCAGGCGGTGTGGCCCAGGCAGTGGACTCAGACCAACATGGATTCAAATCCCAGCTCTTCTGAAGCCATGTGACCTTGAGCCCATCATGGCCCCTCCCCGAGCCTCAGTTTCCCCATCTGGGAAGTGGGAATGGCAACCCTAACTCCCCAAGGCCATGTGGTCGAAATGAGTTGAACACACTAGGAGAGCTGCTTTCTCTCTCCCCCCCGGCCCCCTTTGCTGGGGTCCCTGAAAATACGCCATTTCTATGACAGTCCCCAGCCCTCGGGGTCTATCGAGGCGATGCCCAGCAAAATCTCTGGTTACCTCCTGGTGGATGATGTCTGTGGACACATTGTGCCCATCACAGGCCACGGTCTGGATGGATTTACAGCAACTCCTGGGGTAGGCGTGACCTGTCATCATTTCAAAGGAGGAGCCAGAAAAATCCGTGTAGTTTTTCACTCCACAGCACTTTAGCTACAGAAAAGACAAGAAACACTTGAAGCTCCCTTTCAAATATTAAATAATAAACACAATAGAAATCACGGTCACCATGGCTACAATATTCCAGGGCCAGCTGTGCTACATGCATACCTTACTCCCCCCAGGTCATGGCTCAGAACCCTCCATGGCTCCCATCTTCCTTGGGGTAAAAGCCGAACTCAGCATGGCCCACAGGCTCAGCACAATCTGCCCTGTCACCTCCAGGCCCTCATCTCACCCCACTCGCCCTTTTTCTCAGCTCCAGCCACGCTGGTCTCCTCGCTGTTCCTCAAACACACTTATCAGGCTCAGGCCACCAGCCTCAGGGCCTTTAGACAGGCTGCTCCCTCAAATATCTGCAGGGCTCCCCCCCTCGCTTCATTCAGATCTCTGTTCAAATGTCGCTCCTCAGAAAGGCCTGCCCAGACCCGTCTTTCCAAGTTAGCCGCAACCCCTGTATCAGTCAGGCTGGGGGAAGTGATGCTGCGTAACAAGCAGCCCCTGTATCTCGACAGTTCACTTCTCCCTCATGCCACACGCCCGTCACAACTTGGCAGGTGAGCTCAGTTTCTCAAAGTCACTCAGGGACTCAGGCGGATGGAGCAGTCGCCATCTGGATGGTTCCACTTTGGTGGCAAAATGGAAGAGCTCTGGAGGGGCTGTGCACTGGCCATGAAATGTGCCAGTTTGGCAGGAAGTGACACACATCACTTCTGCTCATAGCTCATTGGCTGGAACATGTCATGTGACCCCCAACCAACTACCTGGAAGCCAGGACAGGCCATCCCACTGTGTGCTAAAGTAGGTGACAAATAGCACTTATGAGTCAACCAAACCCTCCTCTCCTATGAGCTTGTTTTTCTTCACAGACTTATCACCCCTGACCAATGCCTACCTGGTGGTTTCTTGTCCATCTCCGCACTCAAGCGTCAGCAGCACAGGGCACGGATTTTGTTTTATGCCTTCCTGGGTGCCCAGAGCCCTGAACAGGGCTCAGCGTGGGCCCCTCTCGAGCCTGGACATGACCCCACGGCAGTTCCTGGGCCCAAGACTCACAGGTGAAATAGCCCTAGAAACAGGCAGAGGTTGTCCCCTCCCTGGGCCCCAGACCCCCTCCTCAGCTGCCTGCACCAAGAGCTCAGATGACACTTGGAGGTGCTCTTGCCCCTCAAACAGCAAGACTCAAGATGTGAGTCTCAACACCTCCCACCCAAGAGGAGGGCTACTATCATAAAAATATAAAAAACAGAGGGGCCGGCCCAGTGGCATAGTGGTTAAGTTTGTGTGCTCTGCTTTGGCAGCCAGGGGTTCGCTGGTTCAGATCCCAGGCACAGATCTACACATCGCTCATCAAGCCATGCTGTGGTGGTGTCCCACATACAAAATAGAGGAGGATTGGCACAGCTGTTAGCTCAGGGCCAATCTTCCTCACCAAAAAAAAAAAAAGAAGAAAGAAAAAACAAGTGTTGACAAGGATGTGGAGAAACTGGAACCCTTCTGCTTTGCCAATGGGAACGTAAAATGGCGTAGATGCTATAGAAAACAGTATGGGAATTCCTCAAAAAATTAAACATAGAATTACCATATGATCCAGCAATTCCGCTTCTGAGTACAGACGTATAAGAATCGAAAGCAGGGACTTGCACAGACATTTGTACCTCCATGTTCCTAGCAGCGTGATTCACAGTAGCCAAAAGGTGGGAGGAACTCAAGTGTCCATTGATGGAAGAATGGACCAACAAAATATGACAGAATATTATTCAGCCTTAAAAAGGAAGGGAATTCTGACACAGGCTACAACATTGATGAACTTTGAGGACATTACGCTAAGTGAAAGAAACCAGTCACACAAACACAAATACTGTGTGACTGCACCCATAGGAGGTCCCGGGAGGAGTCATATCCACAGAGACAGGAAGTAGGATGGTGGCGCCGCGGGATTGGGGGGGTGGGGGGAGTTGGTGTTCAATGGGGCCAGAGCTTCAGTTTTGCAGGATGAAGAGTTCTGGAGATGGATGGTGGCGTTGGTTGTGCAACATTGTTAATGTACTTAATGCCACTGAACTGGACACTTCAAAATGGTTAAAATGGTATATTTATGTTTATGTCTATTTTCCCATGTTAAAAAAAGATGTAACTCTCACCTTCTCCATGACCGAGTTCCAGTCCGTGGAATAATCATCGGGCTCGTTGAAACCTTTATAGTTCGTCCTCAGGGTCACAACGTTGTGCTCCAAGCCCATGTCTTGAACCTCAAAGATAAAACAGGAAGGCATACAAAATAGCCAGGCGCCCCAGGTGGGGAGGTTTCTTGGGGACAGAGAGGGCTGGTGTGGGTTTCCTTTCGGCTTCCCTCATGTTCCCTGCCCTCAGCCATGGGTCTGCGCTGGAGGCAGGCGAACCCAGGCGACCATCGCCCCCGAGAGAGGGACCCGGGGGAGAGCGTGGGTCTGGAGCCCGTGGCATCTGGTAGTACTGATCAGAAACGAGTCTGAATCATTTGCTCTTTCCAATCGCCCACACACCCACCACGCCCCCGATTTGGCTGTAACTCGATTAAAGTCTTGAATAGCAACTTTAGCAACAGCAGCTCTCTCTCTCTGCACAAAGGAGCAAATTTAATTTTCTATTTTTTAAACAAAGGTCTAAATAAAAAAATGTTTTTCCGAAGAGGTGATGCAGGCACATGGTTCGAAATTCACAAAGCACAGAAGGGGAGCCCATGCAAAGGCTCCCTCCCACCTTTTTCTCCCAGCCAACCAAGTTCCTCCCCCTCCACGACGATGACTGTCACTGTTTCCTGTGTCCCAAATGAGATCTTCAAGTGTGCCAAAGCAAAGTCTATTCTCGTTATTTTCCTTCTTGCTTTCTACTACTCTCATTGTTCTGCCTCTGCCTGTTCTTAGCAAGAGCAGCAGATGCTCCTGGGGGCCCTGCCCAGCGTGTCCCGGTGGCCTCTGTCATTTCTCTGCGCGCCGAGCCTGGGGGCCTCTCCGGCGCATGCGCCCTGGGAGCAGCCCCTCAAGGGATAGTCATACCGCAGCTCCCTCGCCCCTTGCTGGGGAAACAGGCGCGCGTTCTGCGTTCCACCCCAGACATCCCTCAGCAGGACTGAATCCAGGTACCCACAGGGTCACCTTTTTTTTTTTTTTTTTTTTTTTAAAGATTTTATTCTTTTCCTTTTTCTCCCCAAAGCCCCCGGTACATAGTTGTATATTCTTCGTTGTGGGTCCTTCTAGTTGTGGCATGTGGGACGCTGCCTCAGCGTGGTTTGATGAGCAGTGCCATGTCCGCGCCCAGGATTCAAACCAACGAAACACTGGGCCGCCTGCAGCGGAGCGCGCGAACTTAACCACTCGGCCACGGGGCCAGCACCCCACAGGGTCACCTTTTAAGGACTGCACTCCCTTCTCTGCCTCACTTCCCTGTCCCCTATAGGTGTTTCTTGGGATCTCCTCTCAAATAAACCAGCCTTCCAAACCTTGTCTCGGGATGGACTTCTGGGGGGGACACAAATGTGGACAGGGTTCTGTCCTGGAAAATGCACCATCTCGTGCATATGGGGCCTCTTTCCTCCTTTCCACCTGCATCAGACTCCCTGGTCTGGATTCTTACACACTCCGCTTGGATGCTCACTAGGCTGGCGGCAATCTGTTGCACGTGCTGGTACATACGTCATTCTGCACCCGACCAAGCTAATCTTTGGATGAATCCGCGAGATGGGATGGTTGGGTCAAAGTGTCCAGACTTTGTCATTTTGATGCATTTTGCTATCTAGCCCCCTGTTTTGAACACATTTCAAAGCTCCAATAACTTTTACAGCTTTTCCCATTACCTCCTCCCGACCCCTCACCCCAAAGGCGGGAGAGATGGTCAAACGGACTCGGCCAGTTTCTTCAGGCCTTCGAGGGCAGGGCTGAAGTTTTCGGCTTTCACATCATCCGGGTGCGGATCTCCGGCCCTGGGGACCGGCGGGTGGGCCATCACCGGGTCCCCAGGAGAGGCGCCCAGCGTGCGCGGCTCCAGAGGGAGGGGCGGGGCGCCTATTGATTCTGTTTATTCCTAACGCAGAGGGGGAGAAGCACCGCTGTACTTACAGTGGGTAAGAACCCAAGGACCACCGAGGTGACCCCGATTTCCATGATGAGAATGAAAATCATGAACAACGAACACTGGAAGACACAGAGGAGGGTAGGGGGGCTGCTCAGCCGCTTCCGGGCGGGGGGGCTGCCCCTCCCCCGCCCCCCGCCCCCGCCCCCCCCCCCCCGCTCCCGGGCCACGTGGCCTCTGCAGTCTGAAAGGACTCACGCCTGGGACTGCAGGTATTTCTTTCCTGCCTCGCCTTCCAGCAGGTGGTACAGGATGCTGGCAGTGCGGTATTCTTAGGAGCCGCTCGCTGGGCGCCCATTTCTCGCCCAGCACTTTCTGGGCGTCCAGGAGGCCTCAGTGGGGATCAGTGGGGACCTCCCGGTGAAGTAAAGGCTGAATGTGCAGACAGCAGGGGCCGGTGGAGAACAGGAGGGACGGTGGGGAGGAGAAGCAGGCCAGGAAACCTCAGACCCGCAAATAGGGGGAGAGGGGATGGGGCTAAAGGGGAGATGCCGGGCCACAGGTCGGTGGGTGCCAGGGGAAAATGCCAACATTGGCTGGCTTCTGTTTCCGCTGACATTCACATGCATGGTGGAAGATAATGGGGCATACGGCAAGCAGAGGGGACGTCTTGAAGTCATCCATGAAGGAGAAACCGCCACCCAACCTGGGCCTCGGTTTCCCCACCCGTACAACGGGGGAGTGGGACCAGCTTAAGGGATCTCAGTGGGCTCTATGGAGCTTCTGGAAGCAAAGTCAGCTCAACTCCCGGCTCCCCTTGCATCTGTTTGCGTCTATGCCTATTATCATTATTGTTGTTGTTATTATTACTAAAATCTGCTTGATAGTTCAGGCTTTGAGTGGCTGGATTGGCCAATGGCTGTGCTTGTCTTGCTTTGACACCGAGAGGCAGGAGAGCACAGTGGATGCACATCCGGGGCTGTCCCCACAGCCCACAAGGGCAAACGTGCCTTCGGGGCTTAGCAGTTGTGGGACCCCAGACGAGTGGCTCATGTACCAGACTATGAAGATTAATAACATTCCTATCTCTCTGCCTCTGGGTGACTGAGCCGGCCCGAGGACAGATATCCAGGCATCAGCAAGCCCTGTCGGCTCCATCTTCAGAATCTGTCCCAAATCTGCCCACTTCTCACCCACTCCATGGCCCCACCGTGTCCAGCCATCACTCTGTCCCACCTGGACCAACACAGTCCCTCTGCCCATGTCCCTCCACATGCTGTCCCCCCCACCGCCGCCAGAGGGCGCCTGTAAGCACCTGAGTCAGGGCCCTTCTTCTGCCCAGAACACTCTGTGGCTCCCACTGCCATCAAAAGGACTTTGGTTTTGAGTGAGGTCTTGGGGGCTCTGAAGGGACAGATGCTGAGGGTAAAGCCGATCAGACTTGGCGATGGGTTGGACGTGGGGTGTGAGAGAGAGGACGCCTGGATTCCTCCAACTTTGACTGTGGGTAAAATAGTGTCCACATCATATTGAAGATAAAATGACATATTGCAGGCATGGGACCTGTCTGATAAATATTTGCTGAACGGATTAATTAAGAAAGAAAACAAGAGATGATGGAGCTTCAGGTGTGTGTGTGGGCTGCTTCTAACAATGAAGGTCATTTGTGCTCTGGGAGACGAGTAGAGAAGATGCTGGTGACAGAGGTGGGACAATCCCCTTCAACAGGATTCTAAGGGAAATGGGAATGGGGAACAAGCAGCTGGATTTGGGGGACCTGTGTAGCCGAAGCCGCATGTGAGAATGAGTAAGACGTATAATATCTGTGCCGTGCTGTCTGCACGGTCATGCTGGAAACTTTCACACCCCGTGTACTTGAACATGTACTCGTGCACACAGGGCAACTGCAAGTGTTGTGTTCGTGGGGGACATACACATGGAACAGAGAGCAGTGGAGGACTGGATGGGCCACTCAGTAATGAGGATGGTAGGTCATCTAGCTGGGAAAAAAATAAAATAGAACCAGACCCCTACCTCACACCACACACGCACAATCAAACTCCGGAGGGCTACAAAGCTAACAGTGAGGAAGCAGAACTTAAAATTATGGGAAGAAAAACTAGGAGAGCATAATGGATGACGCTGGGCAGGGGAGGGGTTTTGAATGAGACACGTCCTAAAGGGAAAGAGGGACACATCTGATGCCATCAAGTGAGATGCCATAAACACTATAAAATAGCGGATGCCGGTGGCCAGGGGCTGCAGCCTCTGCAGTGAGGGCTTCGTATGTGATGAGGGAGTTTGGGGTCCGTGTGCAGATCCAACTTACAAACAGGAGCGTGCCTCTGTTCTCTTTGGTAACCCCGTACCACCCAGTGAAGCTGAGCAGGACCGTGACGCAGCCCAACACCAGACACAGGTAGCCAACGTGATGCAGGTGTGCATGGGACAGCCCGAGGACCCTCGTTAGGGCAGCCCCTCTGAACTTGACATAGAAGCCCAGGCCAATGAGGACCACACCAGACACCTTCAGCACAGAAATCAGACAGGGAAAAGTGTCTGTTAGTTACACACAAGCAGAACTCTCCTGGGGGTCGGGGGAGGAGGAGCAAAGGCCAATAAAATCAGCAAAAACATTAAAAAAATGATAATACCCAGAGTGAGTGAGGATGCGGAGAAACATTCTCATACATTGCAGCTAGAAACAAACTTTTGTGGGGGGAGTGGGGAAGGACAGCTTGCAATTCATGTTTAAAACATTAAAGATTTTATGGTAAAAACCTTTACCTAGAAATTCCATTTCTAGATATTCAGACTAAAGAAAATAGTCACCTATGTGCCTCAGTACCAGGATGCCCAGGAATGTTTGTCAAGGACAAAACGTAAGAAATAACCTGAGCAACCAATAATACAGAGTCAGTAGGTAAACCGTGGCACAGCCATGCAACGGGATCCTAGACAGTTGTTTTAAATGATGCTATAGGACAAGGGTTGGCAATTTTTTTTTCTGAAAAGCCCCAGATATTGTGAGCTTTGCAAGGCACAGGTCTCTGTTGAAATGACTCAGCTCTTCTGGTGTAGCTCAAAAGCAGCCAGTCACAATCCCTAAACAAATTTATTTTATTTACCCAGAAGTTTTATCTATATTTCCAAGGCTGTAGGTTGCTGATCCCTATTGCAAGAGAATGTTTATTGATTTGGAAAGAATTTTTTTTAAGATTTTATTTTTCCTTTTTCTCCAAAGCCCCCAAGTACATAGTTGTGTATTTTTAGCTGTGGGTCCTTCTAGTTGTGACATGTGGGACACCGCCTCAGCATGGCCCAACGAGCAGTGCCATGCCCGCATCCAGGGCTCGAACCAGCAAAACCCTGAGCCGCCGAAGCTGAGGGCGCAATCCTAACCACTCGGCCATGGGGCCAGCCCCTGGAAAGATGTTTTTAATGCCTTAATAAGTTTTTGAAAAAGTAGATTGGGGCTGGCCCAGTGGCATAGTGGTTAAGTTTGGTATGCTCTGCTTCAGCGGCCCAGGTTGGTTCCCGGGTGCAGACCTACACCACTTGACTGTCAGTGGCCATGCTGTGGCGGTGACCCACAAACAAAATAGAGGAAGATTGGCAATAGATGTTATCTCAGGGCGAATCTTCCTCAGCAAAATATATATATATATATAAATGTCTGGAAGGATATAATCATGATGCTATTTATTGAGCAATGTGCCCATGACAGGTATAAGCCATTTAAACGCCCTGTCTCATTTAATTCCCATCAAAATGTTACAATATAGGTAATAAGATGAGGAGGAGGAGCGATATTTGGTATCCTTCTGCTTCGTGCCGGCCTTTCCTTATACTGTTCTGCTATAAGGAGACTTCCTTCTTGAACAATGCACATTCTGGGTTACTTGTATAGTAAGAGAAAAACGTTTTGAAAAATTTAAAGGACCAAGAAAATAACCACTCCCTCCTGTCTTTCCCCCAAACAATTTAGTTTTCTGCAGGATTTGACTGGGAGCTGAGCTCCTCCCCCACCCACCCCGGGGTCCCCCAGACCACACTCCTCTGGCTCCGTTTCAGCAGCTCTGGGTCGATGGAGGTTATGCCTGTTCCCGCGTCCTGCTCCTCGTCTGTCTGCCCTACATCCCTCTTCCCTGGGGACCACAGATCCGGATGCCAATGAATTTGGATCAACTTATTTCTGTCTTCGAGGGAGCCAGCCATGGAGGAAGGGCTGCAAAGCCCCAGGGCCTGGGTTGTGACATACTTACAGCGGTGATGCCATTGAAGAAAGATGATAGCTTCTTGAAGGAAGAATACGGAGGGTGTGTTTCAGCCATGTTGGCCAGACAGGGGTGCCCTGAACGTTTAAGTCAGCATCTTCTTAAGCCTCTGGGCTGCTGCTTCCCAAGGTGGTACAGGTCTGGGGTGGGGGCCACCAAAGCTGACTTGCTCTGTCCCTCCCTCTCCTGACTGCCTGATCGTCTGCCAGGGAGGGGACCCTGTGGCTGCCCCTCCTCAGTCATCAGCCTTTATCACATCATAATCGGATGTGGGAGCAAGGCTCACGGTGTCCAGGAAGCAGGTGCCCCAAACTGCCCCCTGCTGGATTCTCACCCGCAAATAGGACCCACCAGGGGTGGAGAAAAGGCTGCGTGGGGACCCTCCAGATGCCCCCCAGGCCCTGTGGGCACAGTGCTCAGCACTGACCACTCATGTGGTTGATCCCGCGCCCTGCCCCCCGCCCACTAGCCTGGGGCCTCCAAGGAGGCAGGGGCCTGGGCTGTCCTATTCATGGCTGTGTTCCCAAAGCCTGGTACACAGTGGGTGCTCAAGCATGAATGAATGAATGAATCAAGAGGCTCTATGAAGCAGGAATCTAGCTACAAACCATTTGGTCCCCAAGCCCCTGCCTACACATTAGCCCACTTGGCTCATCTGTCTCACAGGGCTCAGAGAGGCCAAGGTAACTGCCTGGGCCCACACAGGAAGCAGGGTCAAGGCTGGGCTTTGAAGCTCCAAGAGTGACATGAAGATGGCAGCCTGGGACCTCCCACTCCAACCCCAGGAACCCATCCTTTCTCTCTCTGAGGCCTGCCAGGCAAAGCTAGTGAAGTAATCGTCCTTGAGCCCATGTGGCGTTGATCACTGGGCCTTCCTTGATGGGGACAGAGACACAGAGGGCATCTCAGTGGAAAATGTGTACGTGGGCACCGAGAGCCCCCAGGCCCCGCTCCTGCAGCCCCTCGCCCGCATGGTCTCCCTGCCCCCCACCCCGTCCAGGTCCTCCGATCAGCCCTACGGCAGAGTGTGACTGTGTCCAGGTCCCAGAGGGTTCAGGGCTTTCAGAATCTCATGACCCCCAGGGCCCAGCTCAAAGAAAGAAATACTGTACTTTACACTTGAATTCATTTAAATGTTTGTCCAATTGCCTGCTTCTTGGAACATGTCGAATCAAGCAAGATATTCACGGAGGAGTGACTGTCTCCTCCCTGGACCACGGGCCACGTTCACAGCTCGGAGTGTGTCCTTGCACGACTTTCTCTAAAAGGTCATTTGAAATAAGGAGCCTCAGAGCCAGGGCCTGAAGGCATGAAAACGGGGCGCAAAGGAGGGCGAGAAAATGGGGGTGCAAGGGAGCATGGGAAAATGCAGGGTGCAAAGGAGGGTGGAGAAAAGGGGGACACCAAGGAGGGGTGGGGATAGAAGCACAGATGCAAAAGAGGGCGGGAAAATGGGCACAAAGGAGGGTGGGAAAATGAGGGACAGCAAAGTGCGGGGAGGGTGGGAGGCAGAGAGTGGTGTGGACTTAGGGCGCGGTGGCCAGAAGTGGAGCAGCCGGAATAGTAACCGGGGGACCGAGGGCTCTGTCCGCGCGACGGGAGAGGCCCCGCGGCAGCCTCACCCTCGCCAGCCCCGCCCCCTCCAGCCCCGCCCCCACCGCGGCCCCGCCCCTCCAGCCCCAGCCCCACCCCTCCGCAGCCCCGCCCCTCCAGCCCCGCCCCGCGGCAGCCTCAACCTCTCCAGCCCCGCCCCCGCTGCGGCCCCGCCCCCTCCCCGCCCCTCCAGCCCGCAGCCCCGCCCCCGCCGCAGCCCCGCCCGGCTTCACGACAAGGCCGCGGCCCAGGTCCTGGCCTCGCACGCCCCCTGGCGGTCGTCCGCGGAAGCGCGGACCTACGTGCGCCCCGACTCCGGCGTCTCCCGGCCACACACCCCAACTGTGCCTCGGTCCCCGAGAGGCGCCGAGATGGAGGGACAGGCCCCCACCCCGCAAGTCCCCCCAACACACTCTTTGAATTGATGCGAAGAGACAGGATTGTGCACGCATCTGGCGAATTACAAATGCAAGACCTCTGGCCAAAAAGCGTGCAGAAAATCAGTGCAATTTGTCAGACACAGTTCAAAGGTTCGAGAAAACAGCGAAAAACTGCTCTTAAAGTGGCGCCGCAGAGCCGTGAGGAGGACGCTGACATACCACTGCAGGAACGAGGGAAGCGCCACTCCCAGTGTTTCCTTAATAACGGGGCTCACGGTGTGTTGAGAGAGGCCCAGTGTATTTCTCCACATTCTCAATCTCCTTCTTTACATTTTAGATGTTTTTAAAAAGCAGGATTTCCAAGAAAATCGAGTGTCTTAAACACACACACATAGACACGGAATTTATGTCAATAGTCCATGTTGGTCTATGAGCTGCCCTTCTTAAATTCCTGTATTTGTCATCAACTGGGACACCAGAGGCTCAGGAGACAGGTTCATCTGGCCGACTGTTCATGGAAAATTTGCAGCCTTGATATATTTGTGTGTTTAGGCCCCAGAAAACCTGGATCCACCCCTGACAAGCGGGCACTTTGTGGTTTAAGGTATTTTGGTAACAATCTTTGGGGGAGGCAGTGACAAATCCTAATCCACCATCTACCAGGAAGGTCTGGAGTGCAGGAAAGAAAGGCGACTGTCCATGCTGAGGCTGGTCGACTTCTCTGACGTCACTCACTCGCTCTGGCGTTCCCAGGCCACTGGCTTCAGCCCTCGATGGGGATGGGCACACAGGTGTCGCCAGGTTGTGGCAGCATGGGCTGAAATCTTTGGCGAGACAGTAGAGGATCATAGTGACAATCATTGCTGCCAACTGAAAAGGAAGCAGGAAGCATTTCCTCTGTTAGGGATTTTTTTGTTTGGCTGGGTGGTTTGTAAAATCCCATTTGTTTTATCTTTTTCACATTCTGATCTATTTTTGAGGCTTTTTGCTCTGAGTGCTGAGGGTTTGTGGGTTAAGGGGCGACAGGGAGGACCCTGTCTTGTAGGGACACTGACTGTTCTCCTCAGGTCTTCTTGCTTGCCACATAAAAATCTGAAATTTCTACCTTTTCGGCCATGCAGGGTCTTAGCTTCTGGAAAGGAGAGGCATAAATTAAGGAGTACCAAGAGATACTAGATGGATATTCAAAGTACTCAGCCACAAAGTACTGCCAGACAGCAATGAGCCAGACAGAGCAGAGCGTCTCAACCCCGTAGGGCTGGGAGCCCAGGGGGGTCCTGGTGAGGGCTCAGGCAGAAGCACCCGCCAGACCACTGGGTGCAGGTGACACTCCTCGAGGGGACTCCTGTTTTTGTCAGCACACGAGTCTTGGGTTGCGATGTCCTCTCTTGATGTGGCACCTGGTCCCAGGGTGACCAAGGCTTTCTCCATCCCGAATTCCTCAAGTGTCTCGAACACACTGAAAAGCTCATAAATAACTTCCAGAGATTTCACACCTTCCGTGTCTCAGGGAGGATCTGTAACCGCAGCAAACGGGCTATTTAAAGTGCGTGGGGAGCATTCCCCCTTCTAGCAATTTCTGTGATGGGTTTATTCAAACACTTATAGACCAAGAGTCAAGAAGAAGCTTTCTCTGGAAAGGACAGGAAATTCTGACACAGGCTACAGCATGGGTGAACTTTGAAAATATCATGCCGAGTGAAATCAGCAAGCGTACTCGTCAGCAAGGGCTGTGTAACAAAGTACCCCAACCGGGTGGCTTCAGCGACAGAATTTATCTCTCACTGTTCTGGAAGCTAAAATTCTGAGATCGAGGTGTGGGCAGGGCTGGTTTATCCTGAGGCCTCTCTCCTTGGCTTGTGGGTGGCCATCTTCTCCCTGTGTCCTCACTTGGTCATTCCTCTGTGCATGTCTGTGTCCTAACCCCCTCTTGTTATATGGACACTAGTCCTATTGGATTAGAGCCCACCCTAATGACCTTATTTAACTTAATTATCTCTTTAAAAGTCTGTCTCCAGTGGCCGGCCCAGTGGCATAGTGGTTAAGTTCACCTGCTCTGCTTCAGCGGCCTGGGGTTCACAGGTTTGAATCCCAGGTGCAGACCCAGCACCACCCATCAAGCCATGCTGTGGTGCTATCCCAATAAAACAGAGGAAGATTGGAACAGATGTTAGCTCAGGCCAATCTTCTTCACCAAAAAAAGAAGAAAGAAAAAGTGTATCTCCAAATACAGTCACATTCTGAGGTTCTGGGGGTGAGGACTTCAACATATAAGTTTGAGGACACAATTCAGCCCATAACAGCCAGTCACAAAAAGACAAATACTGTCCGATTTCACTCATAGGAGGTCCCTAGAGGAGTCACATCCACAGAGACAGGAAGGAGGATGGTGGGGGCCACGGGCTGGGGGAGGTGGAGGGGGAGTTAGTATTTAATGGGGACAGAGCTTCAATTGGGGAAGATGAGAACGTTCTGGAGACGGATGGTGGGGATGGCGGCACAGCAATATGAATGTGCTTCATGCCACTGAACCGGACACTTGAAAATGGTAAATTTTATGAGTAGCAGGAACAGAGGCCTCCTGGTGGGAACAGAGGGAGCTGAGTGGGCTCAGCACCAGTGCCATCCTTGCAGCTCCTGTGGAATGTCACCTCCAGCACCGATCACGTGGGGCCGCGTAGTGGGAGGAATATGCCCCCCCAAAACTCACGTCCACCGGGAGCCTCAGATCGTGGCCTCCTTTGGAAACGGAATCATGGCAGACGCGCTTAGTTAAGGAGCTTGAGAGGAAATCATCTGGATTGAGGTTGGGCCCTAAAGCCGCTGCCTGGGTGTCCTTGTAAGAGAAAGGACAGGGAGATTAGGACACAGAAAGAGAAGAGACGCCCATGTGGAGGCGGACGCAGAGATTGGGGTGATGCGGCCACAAGCCGAGGAACGCCAGAAGCCGCCAGAAGCTGGAGGAAGCGTCCTCCCCTCGAGCTTTCGGAGGGAGTGTGGCCCCGCTGCCACCTTGATTTCAGACTTCCGGCCTCCAGAACGTGAGAGAATAAATTTGTTTTGTTTTAAGCCCGCAGCTCGCAGTAATTTACTAGCAGCCCTGGGAAATTAACACACGTGGGAGGGGCTGGGGGCGGGGCAGAGAGTGGAGCTGCCTGTTGCGGGAGAACCACGAGGACAGGGAGAAAGGTCCGCGTTCTGGGAGGGGTCCTTTCTTTCTTTCTTTCTTTCT